ACACAGCAACAAGAAGAGGAAGAAGAAGAAGAAGAGGAGGAGGAGGAGGAGGAGGAGGAGGAGGAGGAAGAGATTGAATTTATACCCTGCCCTTCACTACCCAAAGGAGTCTCAGAGTGGCTTACAAACTCCTTTCCCTTCCCCTCCCCACAACAGAAACCCTGTGAGGTAGGTGGAGCTGAGAGAGATCTTTGGAGAACTGCTCCCGAGAGAACAGCTCTGAGAGAACTTGTGACTGACCCAAGGTCACACCAGCAGCTGCATGTGGAGGCATGGGGAATCCAACCCTGTTCTCCCAGATTAGAGTCCGCGCTCCTAACCTGTACAACAAACTGGCTCTCAACCACCAACCTAGCCAGCCCCTCTTGGCATCTCCAGTTCCGCGTGCCTTCCCCCTTTGAGGGTGCCCCGGCATCCGAGCAGACAGCCTCCCCTACCGCTTGTGTGTACGCCCCGTAGGCCCCGAACTGGATCGTCATTGGATTGAAGATCCCCAGCTGTCCCGCCATCTGATGCATCCGCCGCAGGGTCCTCTCCTTGTCGGTGTCAGCAAACTTCACCACCAGGCTGGAGGAAGCTCCCTGGCCGGGGGGGGGGGAGAGAAAGAGAGGCAGAAACAGAGAGAGTGGGGTAGGCTGCATCCATTGCACAGGCCATCGAGATCTCAGAGGGAACGATTCAAGACTGACAATTGTGCGACAGCGGTGACACAATGGAGAGGGCATGGCAAGAGGTTGGATGCAGGTTCCATCCCTAGCATCTCCAGACAGGTGATGTGGAAGACCAGAGATCTTAGAAAGCGGCTGCCAGTCAGAGTAGACAATGCAGACCTTGATAGAGCCGTGTCAGCAGGAGGCAGCTTCATGTGTTCATTTCATGCGCTGGGTGCACCGAGGTGCGTATATGAATCTACGGAGTGGCCTTATGTTGACTCAGACCCGTTGGTCCTGTTTGGGAGAAGCTCTCTAAGGACCCAGGCGAAGAAAGATTCCCCCCCCCCAATTGTGACCTGAGATCTTTGAACTGGAGACGCCAGGGACTGAACCTGGGCCTTCTCTAGACAAAGCGTGGGAACCTACCACTGAGCCAGCATCTCCGGTCAAGGTCTTTCCTATCGCCCACTACTGAACGTATTAACTGGAGATGCCGGGGATTGAACCTGGGACCTTCTGCATGCCACATAGATGCTCTGCCACTGAGCCATGACCCTTCTCCACATTATGACCACATAGTGTTGGGTTACACCAAATCAAACCGTTGCCCCGTCTAGCTTGTTAAGTCTCAGCCGTAGCTCTCTGAGGTCTCAAGAAAAGGAAGGTCTTACTTAACATCTGCTGCCTGAGGCCCTTGAACTGGAGATGCCGGGGATTGAACCTGGGACCTTCTGCGTGCCAAGCAGGTGTGCTTCCAATGAGCTACACCCAACCACCTTTCCTCCAAGATAGAAAGTTGTTGTCACCGGGGAATAACGTCAAGTGTGCACAGGACACATCAGTTATGGAGTTAGACGATTGGTCCTTATGTGTAGCCCATCACCACACATCAATTTCCCCAAATTGACAAATAGAGAGAAGAGATTGGATGTATACCCCGCCCTTCAATACTCAAAGTGATAGGGAATACTCAAAGGGGAAGGGAAAGGAGACTGAGCGGCTCACAGTCTCCTTTCCCTTCCCCTCCCCACAACAGGCACCCTGTGAGGTAGGTGGGGCTCTCTTGAGAACTGCTCCTGAGAGAACAGCTCTGAGAGAACTTGTGACTGACCCAAGGTCACACCAGCAGCTGCATGTGGAGGAGTGGGGAATCAACACCCGGTTCTCCCAGATTAGAGTCCGCGCTCCTAACCACTACACCAAACTGGCTCTCTCCAGGGCATTTTGGATTGGGAAAAGGGAGAGGGCTCAAGTCCCCAACCCAAGTCAGACCACTGTACATCTGGTAATTCAGTTCTGGGACTCACAGCGGACATCTGTCTGACAGGATCAGGGAATACGTGGGCGGAGGGAGGAGACCCATAAGCAAAGTATTGTGTGGTGGTGGAAAGTACCATCCAGTTGCAGCCAGTTTATGACAATCCCATAGAGTTTTCAAGACAAGAGCCGTTCAGAGGTGGGTTGCCATTGCCTGCCTCTGCGTAGCAACCCAGGACTTCCTTGGTGTTCTCCCATGCAAATACTGACCAGGGCCAACACTGTTTAGCTTCCAAAATCCAATGAGATCAGGCTAGCCTGGGCCATCCAGGTCAGGACAAAAATGTAGGGCTTCTTTTTTTTTGGGGGGGGGGAGGTGCCAGACCTCTCAAGAGCTAAATGAAGTCTTCAGTCTATATACTGAAAATTCACGAACTTTTAAACATTTTAAAAATAATTTTGCCAAAGAGATTCCGGAACTCCGTTCCGGTGCGCCCCCAAGGAAAAAAATGCCCTGCAAAAAAGTATTGGGTAGTTAGGTCTTTAAGTTAGCTCCCTCGCCTCAAACAGTAGATTGTAATCTCCTCAGGGCAGGGACCTCGTCACCTGTAAAGTGCCAGGGACATTGGCGACGCCCATCAACATTTTAAAAAACGGCTGCTTCTGCTCAGGAAGGATCAGAACAGCCGTTGGACTCACTAGGAGATTTTGTGACGGTGGCGTCCATCTCCTGAGGCGTTCTCGCTTTAACTCGCCCGTCACCTTTGATTGACTCAAAGTGACGCGGGCAAGCCAAGTACCCGCCGAGCCTCAGCCGGCCGTTTCGAATGGAATAGAGCGAGATCATCACCGTGAGCACGTACAAGGCAGCTCCTCCGGAGCCGGTGCCCGTCCAGACCACCACGCCGGGGCAGAGTTCATCACCATCCCTGGCCGGGAGCCCTCTCCGATCAATGCCGTCCTCTTCGATAATCGTGGCCTCCTCCCGGGGGGCGCTTCCCCCCTCTCTCCCCCGCTCTCACTTAGAACTGTGACCTTCATTGTTAATTAAATGGCAGCTTGTTCAAGCTGCTGATTGAATTACCTCCTAACACCTGCCTGGAGAGCCCAGCGGCTGATCGGAATGAAAACCGAGGGGACCCGGCGTTATTTTAACAAGTGATTTGATCCCGCAGATTCTGATCCAATCAAAGGGAGGATAAATTAGCCGATGACTGGATTAAGGAGAAAACACTGCCTGGCGGAGAAGGGATGGGGGCGGGGGGGATAGAGCCAGTGTTGTAGGGTTGTCCAGTGTCTTTACACGGATTACTGCCTCCGGAGAATGCTTTTGGGGAGAGTCTGAAAAACAAAACTCTAAACGTTGCACAGGGCATGGCTACAGAGGCCTGTAGCCACAGTGGGGCATTTAGGGGCAGTGCCCCCTCTCTTGTGGTCCATGCCCCCCACTCCCACTGTCCCTGCCCTTACCTGCCAGCCACACTCATTTGCTTTGGCAGCTACAGGAGAAGGAGAGCCGGACGGTGCAATTAATACTCGGCGAGTACTCTTGGCTGCTCTCCTCCTGTAGAAGCCAAGGCGAACGAGTAAGGCTGGCAGGTAAGGAAAGACCCTTTTCTTTTTTGCCTGCCTGCCTGCTGACGGGATCTCTCCCCCCTTCCCTTGCCCCCCCTCAGATTTCCCACCGCCCCACCACCCAAAATTTTCTGGCTATGCCCTTGCGGCTACATTTGGCCACTCGTCTCAGAGAATCTGTTTAAATGATCAGCGATTCTGACATAACCCATGAACGTATTTGAGGGCTAATTCAGAGGGGAGCCGGTTTGCACGTGCCTAATTCGGAGGCGACCTGTTTTGCACACAGGAGAGAGGCAACGGCAACTTCGGCTGAGAAGGCAGGAATGAGGAAGGGGTCACGGCTCACTGGTAGAGCACGAACTTTGCATGCAGAAGGTCCCCGGTTCAATCCCCTCCATCACCTGATACAAGGATATTAGGTAACAAGAAGGGCCTTCATCTACCTGAGACCCAAGGGAGGCAGGTGGGGCTGAGAGAGCTCTTTCAAGGACTGCTCTTGAGAGAACAGCTCTGAGAGAACTTGTGACTGGCCCAAGATCACACCAGCAGCTCCATGTGGAGGTGTGGGGTATCCAGATCAGAGTCCACGCTCTTAACCACCACACTTAACTGGCTCTCAAGCTTAGAAGAACTAATAGCCTGACTCTCCGTTGCTCTTAACATTTATGAATTCTGAAGTGTATCCAGTCCTCATTAGACCATTTTGAGGTTACTGAGTTTCTTTGGAGGGGAAGGTATACGAAATCTGGTGATTCCCACCCATCCCCAAATATTAGAGATCCTTCCTCATCTGTTGGTGATCCCATTTTGCGGCTTTCATGATTGGTTTGGGGAGGAAAACCACTTTTCTATTGGATATTATTTCAGATTTTACATACATTTTGCGCCAGAGGTTTTACGCACGCCCTTGACTATCCTATCCCGAACCGGACTATTGGTTCCTTGTTCTCTTAGGGCATTGACACCGCCATCTTGCTGTTTGCTTTGGTGGAACAGAAAGCGTTGTCAGGTGCCAACCTGGGGATTGTGTCTGTGTAGACTCATCAGATCTCAGAAGCCAAACAGAGCCAGCCCTGGTTAGTATTGGGGTGGAAGAACACCAAGGAAGGCCGGGTTTGCTACGCAGAGGCAGGCAATGGGAAACCACCTCTGTTTTTCTGCAGTGACCTGATTGGCCCAGGCTAGCCCGATTTCTTGGAAGCTAAGCAGATTCTGTTGGATATGCAAGAGGACCTGGGAGGGAAAGGGTTAAGACAATGCTCTCACTCAGGGACACTGGGCAGTTGGCCCCACCCTCTCATTGGGTAGACGTTGAGCCTCTGTGGCCCTTGCTTGCCTTCTGTGTTTCATCTTAAATAGGACCAGGGGTCATTTCGTAGAAAAAGAGGTGCAGGAGCTCATTAACATAACTCATT